AAGGATGGACAGGACTTGGCAAAGGCCGTTGCTCTGTGTTTACTGAGGTCCTGACGCTGCTCTTACAGAACACAACAACTTCACTACACGTAAGCGAAGTGAGGCAGAAAGTTCCCCAGCTGCAGCGTCTTTAAAAACGACTGTTCAGTTCTGAAGGTAATTAGCTTCGTTTCAGTCAACTGGCACGCAGAGACTCACTTGGAGCTTTAGGGTGCAAACACTCAGATGTGTGGGAGTGCTTCCTCCGAAACAAATTCCTGAATCATAACTGCTGTGCCTGAACCAACACATTCACAGAACCCTCCGTAACTTCAACAGACACCCCCCAAATGAGTTTGCCGCTACATGATGAGACAAACCCAGCAATGTTTTCCTAGCTTAACAGCTCTTCTGGCGAGGATAACCGTCCTCTCTGGCGAGAGCCTTAAACAGCACCCAATCCCACCCTCCACGCACGCAGGACGCGTCAAAACTTTATCCATCAACGTTAGGAGCAGCCTATGGAAAACCAACGTTCCCACGGCACAAGACTACTTCCCAATTTCGTAAGCATCTCGGATGTTAAGACTGACAAACAGCAAGATGCTTCTTGAGAAGAGACTACAAAATCCAAGAAGAAGTTGCAATAGAAGGCAGACCTGTCATTCTGAAGTCTGTGGAGGAAATTCGCCTTGGCTTGGTGATGAAGAAAGTTATTATTTATAAACGCCCATCCTTCAGCTTCCTTTGGAGAAGCACTGTTCTGTGTTAATGTGGCTGGGTGAGGAAAACATGACTGTTTCACAGACGGAATGACAGACTGGCACCCTGAACAGCCCAAACAGGATGAGAGAGAAAAAACCTACTGTGTTTCACGCCAAGCAGAGACTCCAAGCTCATAAATCGAAACTGGCGTGAAAAGACGGTCCTCAACCAGCTCTGTGCCTGACTGACACCGCCCACAGCTTGATCACGTTCTCGATCCGGCGTCACAACTTAGTTGGCATTCTTCTGCAAATCCTATCTGGTCAGTCTTCCTGGGATGGGAAGATACGCTCTTCGTGGCAGACATTAAGAATCTCTAGCTTCAGCTGCTATTTCCATGATGCCACATTAACGTGATTACTCCAGACACTTCACTTTAATCCGGGTGCGATCACGTTCAAAGACTCTGGGCTGTGCCATTTCCCACCAACATCTGGAATTGAACAAACTGATTGGGAAATAATTTTCTTATCCTTTCAATCAAAAAATTCCTTGTCTTTTTGAGGTCCCCTTCCATCCTATGTAAGCACAGTCTACTTATATATTATCAACCGGTTGGAGCGAGTCCAGATGCTCAGAGGGTGGAGCCCCTCTGCCCTGGGGACAGGCTGGGGGAGTTGGGGGGTTCAGCCTGGAGAAGGGAAGCTCCGGGGAGACCTCAGAGCCTCTCCCAGTGCCTGGGGGGCTACAAGAAGGCTGGGGGGGACTTTTCCCAAGGGCAGGGAGTGACAGGACAAGGGGTGACGGGTTTAAATGGAAAGAGGGAGATGGAGATGGGACATCAGGAAGGAATTCTTCCCGCAGAGGGGGGGAGCACTGGGACAGGTTCCCAGAGAAGCTGTGGATGCCCCATCCCTGGGAGTGTCCAAAGCCAGGCTGGATGAGGCTTAGAGCACCCTGGTCTGGTGGAAAGTGTCCCTGCCCATGGCAGGGGGTGGCAGTGGGTGGGCTTTGAGGTCCTTTCCCATCCAAACCATTCTGTGATTTGGACACTTTAATACACCCAGACTATATAAGTAAGAACATCTGCTTCCCACAGGAAGAAGCACCACTACAAAGCGTAAACGAGTTGTATCACAAGCCAAGTTTCAATGACAACGAGTTTCTTTGCAACATAACATAAATTAAGTAATCCTGAATACCAAAGGAGTAGGTGAGTATTTTTAATTTAAGTATACTGCCCCAAACAACCACGGAATTCAAAGGGTGACACACTGGTTACTTCCAAGATCCACCTTCCCAAACGTTGCTTGCGTCTTGCTGAAACGCGGCGAACAATTCTGTGAGGAAGCCACTAACGTGGGACTTTGAGGATGAACTCTCTCCCGTAAATCAATATTGGCATTACCAGCTCTGTTAGTCCCCCAGCCTGGAAGCATTTGCAAATGGTATCCAAATTATCCCCCAATGAGGGCTTTCAGACTGAGCAAACTGCGTCTTAAAATAACTGATTAGATCAGAAAAGTGAACGAGCCTCAATGAACAAAGAGTTCTAGGTAACTTCTTTCCTCTTAGCGACCTGGGAAAGAACATTCAGCACCCATTGCCTCAGCAGAGGGGTACCTTTTCATCTCAGCCGTGAACACCTCAGATAGGGACACTTCCAAATAAACGAAGTAAAAAAAGGAAGAGCCCTGGACTCTGAAGTCTGATTTAAAGAATGAAGCCTGACACTACCAAATCAAAGACAACTTCAAGCTGAAATTTAAATACATCCTAAATACTCATTAGACAGTATAGACACTTGCCATTATCCGTTTTCACACAAGTGTGTATTTTTTCTTCATGCCTAGGACTCAAGTTTGCAACATCCCATGACTACTCCTGAATCCAGGTGGGAAAGCAAAGAACCTGGGGTACCGCTACGCAACCCCAAGGAGAACCCCCGAGGCAGCCGGGGAGATGGAGCCGTTCACGAGGGCTGCTTCCACCTGCTGGAGATGGGAAATATCCGAGACCACAAGGTCCTACTGCTTGTAGGGGCCGAGACAGCGACGTCCGGGGTAGCAGGGATGCTCTTGCTTCATGCTGAGACACAACCTCACCCAAGTGACCAACTCGGACTTCACCCAGGCCACACATCTACGCACACAGGCACGCCAGGCTGACGAGAGGTCCAAGCGTTAGCTGAAACGGAAAACACGGATCTCCAACCCTCTGAACGCACACCCAGAAAGTCCCCCAACAGACAAGAAAATTCCATGTAAAAATGCAGGCAGGGCTGCTCCTGCGTGCTCCCCCTAAGCGTGCGGAGACGCACCCATCCCGCCAGGCCCCACGGCGCAGAGCAACGTCCCTTTCCAGGGGGGCAGGAAGAATTTCATCCCTGCTCACCTCTCCAGATGGCCAACACGGGGAAACCGTGAGCAGCTCAGCCTCCAAACATCCCCCTGCTCAGCGTGGCAACTGCTACTTCGCACAGGCTGCCAGACCGCCTGGCCATGGCCAACAGACCCCCGTGCCTCGCCGGGTCTGCCATTCCTTTCGGACAGAGAAAGCATTGCTGCTCAGTTTTTCCCTTGGCTTTACCAGAACGAGTGGAATATTGGAAGTACTCCCGCAGCAGGGATCACCATTCAGCTTCCCCTGGCCCTTCATTAGAAACACCTCTTGTACAGGAACGGCATTTCGGAGCAGATTTGGAACGAAGGACGTGGTGGTGCCCGCTGATGCGCCCTCAGCGCTGCGCGGAGGCAACACCCAAGCCATGTTCCTCTCCTCTGCCAACAGCTGTAAAGGTGAAGGCCACCTCTATTTAACGCCGTAGCAATTAGGAATTAAACCAATCTAAACTTCATCCCGCTCGCAGCAGTACGTCATCTGGTGTTCTGCACTGTTTTGTGCACTTTAGAGATACTCGGTGTACAACCGGTTTGCTAAGAGGAAAGGAGCCGCGGTTCCGTGCCTGCAGTCACCCCGGCACGTGCGGTTTACGTCACGGACCTGCCCACGCCTCGCACACCTCACAGACAGGACGAGCCATCGAGCTGTTTTTTAAGAGACGCCGCCAAAGTGGAAAACACTGGCGTGTGAACAGCATCCTGGGCAACCCACGGCTGATCTTCATTCAATCAGTCCTAAACTACGTGCGTATAAGACCAGGATTCGTCATAAATCACTGTTATCTTGCATTTTTCTTCCAACTGAGGTTGTTCAGACTTTGTCAGCAGCCAATCAGAATAACTGCATGCCGCAGCAGATAACTGTGCAACGTAACACACGTAAGGAGGTTTGTAGTTACCCGCTCAAAGAAAACCACATTTAAGCATCAGTATGTCAGCAACTTCAACATCCTTTCTCAGCCCATAAAGACTCTTCAGACTCCCAGTACTATTTATATTGCTTTTTTTCACCTGAATTTGGCAACATAAGGGTATGTAATCTCACACACCCTTCTCCTGCCTGACTTGGATACTGGGATGCAACAAAACACCGGCTAACTCACAGCACAGACTACGTTCTTCAAGTCAGCTTGAGGGAGTTTGACAGCACGCTGCCCTAACGTCCTCTGGAAGAAACTCCCCAACTCTCTATCAATAGCATTCCTCCATCAGTTAATTGTCAGTGATTAAGGAATAAAATAGGACAGTTACCTTGAGACAGAAAAATAACTACTGGAGATTCAAAAGGAATCAAGAAAACATTTTTCTCCCTGGCTATGCACTTTACAAGCACCAGACTACAAGTAGTTGCACACCAAAATACCATTCAAGCCTTAGCAGCACCTCAAAAACCCGCATAATCCTTCATAGTTACCAAACACTTCTCCTGCCTTTATCATCCACAAGCAATGGTTGTTTTCTTCAACACGACAGAGTGACACCTGAATACCAGGAAGTATCACTAGGACGAAATTACGCCCGTGTGTGGCGTAATTACGTCATCAATATACTGTGCAAGGAAAAGCCTTCGACCTTGACGTCAGTTTGCACACCTGCTACAATAAATCCCAAGCTTTTCTTGCATTAATTCTAACAATTATAGCGGAGTTTTGGGGGTGATTTAGGCTGTTTTGCGTTCGATGCCAAAACCAAAACCAGCGGTTGCTTTCAGAGGAGAAGCAGCCGGTGAGGCTGTGACACAGAGATGCCCGACTGAACGGTACCGCACCTGAATCGCTGGCAACACAGGTTTCTACGTTTCTCAGTTTCTGGCTAGCTAACACAGTTCAGAGACTGACAAGATCATAGGGTAAACAGACCTAATTAACGCGACGTTTTTCACTGCAAGCCACGGAAACGGGAAGAGTGACTTACCGGGGTCTCGACTGCTGTATGGCCAGCCGGAGGCAGGTAAAAAGGATGGCATGGGGGAACTCGCCCTGCTGTCATCCTCCACTTGCTGCGTAATATGCCGCACAGTTTCTTTATTTTTTCTGTTCTTCCTGCGCCCGGTGGGTTGCCAGCCATCCCCCACTCCTTGCTCCGAGAAGGCGTTCTGTATTGCACTATCCTTGGCAGAATGTAGGTCACCCCCTCCGTAATGTGACGGTGAAACCTGTTCCTCTTTGATACGTAAAGACCCATAGCCCATGTCACTAGACCAGAGAGACTGGGACGAAACGTCTTCGTGGCTGTCTGTTTTTGGTTCCTGATCCTCCTTCCCGTAACTACTCCCCCCCTCGTGGCAGCTAGCAATAGCCGAATCTCCAGAGGAGTTCGCTGGGCTCGTTCGCCGAGCTAACCAGGGAGATATGCTCCTGCCCGCCACCACTGCCGAAATCAAAGCATCCGTACTGCTGCTGGAAGGGGCTCCCAGCTCATAATCGACGAGGTCATCCGAGGTGTCAGACTTGATGCTGATGTCGAGAGCTGCTTTGATGAAGCTGTGACAGGCCTGTACGATGTCTGTCATCTGCAGGTAGCTCGCGGCCGACATCACCTCGATGACGTTCCTGCTGGTCAGCGCCAGGTGTGCGGAATACATGAAGTCAATGATGGCTTTAAAGCCCTGGGCGGTTACGATGTCTAAGTGGGTGACCGTGGCCTGGTCGGAGGTTTTCTGTACCTGGCAGTACAGCGTTTTGAAGTAGCGACTGCTCCCAAGCAGAACATTTTTGTGAGCCTTAAATATCTTGCCCTCCACTATGATGCAAACATCGCAGAGGATGCCGTGTTGCCTCTGCTCGTTAAGCTCACGCAGCAGATGACGGTAGTGGGAAGCAATCTCCATATCTTCCTTTCGGTTATTCATTTGGAAATCTTTGTGTTTCCTCTTCCACAAGTCCTGTGTGGGGAAGGAAGTGACAGTGTTACAAAATCCAGTACGAGCTTACAGACGTGTTTTTTTTCAAAGACTGAGACAAAGCCCAAGTTGTACCCAATGAGCAGGTTCGTGTTGAAAGAACACCGCAAAATACAAACTACTGCCTGGAAAGACGGCACATCCATCGCAGGATGCAGCTTATTTTTACCAGACTTCAAATAATTTATGTTAAAAGGGAATAGATTTGAAGCTCGATCCTCCAGTGGCTCCTAACATCCCAGAGAAACAATTCTTTAAATCACCACAGACTTGTAAGAAAACCCCTCTCGGGTTACTCGGGTAAAACTGCTGTCAGTTTTTCCCGTTCGGGGTTCAGTAAAGTTTGATTTTGAAAGAGGTACCACGCTGCCAAACTACTGAAGAGCACTCTGTAACACCATTTCCTCAGGGGAACGGGCGTTACGCGCCGCGCACTGAATAGCCGAAATCCTCACACAGCGAAAGCCGATTGAAACCAGCTCCTTCCCTCGCTATATTGCCGTTGAGGGGCTATAAATACTGTTTTCGAGTCAGAAGAGCAATAGGCAAATCCAAGACCACAGATCAGAAAATTTTAAGTCCCCACCCAAACTGGCAATAGAGCAGAACTAAGGAAATAACGTTAGCTGAAGCTTAACTACTTATAAGCACAGGATTTTAACCTTTGCACTAAAGCCTGTTATTTCCTTGGCTTTACATTGCCAAGTTTACCCCACAACCACCTCAAGATATTGGGTAGAGAAATTCTAAACACCACCTAAACATTCGTGTTTAGAAAGGACGCTTACGACCAAAAGTAACAAAGGTTCCTTCAAGCTTGGAAGAATCCACAGGACTTTTCACCACTTTTCATAAAACCTGGCAGTATTAATCCCAAAAAGGGTAGTTAGTGGCAGCAGCACGACCAAGACCTGTATCGTGTAAGTTATGCTCTGACTTAATCTCCTTTTACATCCCAAAACAGGAAAAAAAGGTCTGAAACGTGGATACGGTGATGCCGATACTTTTGGGTTGGATTTTATCCCCCTTGCAAAGCCCAAATCCGGAAGCAGCACATCAGGAGGGAGGAGGGCACACAGCATTCGGTAAGTCCCTCCTGCCATGCAGTGGGGTCTGTTGTCCCTTCAGCATCACCAGAAACCCCCCCGCTCTCCACCTCCCAAGGGAAGGCTTCACGGGCATCAGGCGTGATCACCACATTCCGTCCCTCCGGTGAAAGGACTCCAAGCTCGCAGCACCCGAGGCGTTAGGGACGGACACTGGCAGCAGCAGAAGAGACCGACGGAGCGCCCTGCGCAACACCACGGCTCAGCAGGTACCGTCTCTGCAACTCCACACTCGCCTGTGCTGCCACAGCCTCACAAATTCCTTGGCATTCCTTTCTGCCATTTTATCTAGCTTACACCACTTCTTTGGAACTCACTACCAGGATTTATACACCGTGTAACAGCGGTTTAACAATCCAACTAATTAAGAACTAATTACAATGCGAAGGATACCCACTTTTTCTCAAAAACTGACATTTGTTCCAAACTGAGAAGTTCCAACCGTAAAATTGATACGTGGGTGCACATGTCGACACACAAATACAAAAGCGGTACGTGCTGACAAGACCAGGTTCTACATGTAACTGCGGGCAGGCACACACACCGGAAGCCTGGCCTGAGGCTATCGGTGCTTGCTGATAAAGCCGCAATCACTGTACCCCAGAGGTCTGGAAGCACACACGGTTAAACAGCAGCACTGTCAGCAAGGAGGGCGATGCAAGCCTGGAGCAACTTCCTCACACACTTGGCCAAGTCGGTCCCGTCTGCCCAAACCAGCTCACAGCAGCCGCAGCCCTAGGATAGCCACGGTTCAGAAAGCTCCCTGAGCGATGCAAGACGGTTTCCCATCCTGTGGAATGCAGACACGTAGGACCTCTGCCCCCTTCCCCTAGCCTGTGCTGTTATTATCACCTGCAGGAGCCAAACAGCTACGGTTTAGCCAACATTGTTGGTTAAAAAAACACCTCTCGGCCCACAGAACATACGAGCCACCTGATGATTCAAGAGTTTGACTTCTGTGAGTTTGCCTGCATGAGCTTTTTCAGCCCTGCACGAAGGGGGCTGTCTCTTCGGCGGTGTCGGAAGCGAGAGTCTGCAGGACCAGCTGGGCCCTGAGCACCGAAAAGCATCTGCTTCCCTCGAGAGAGGAAGGACCATCTTCCTGCAACACAAACAGGCTGAACCGGTGTCCACCTACTTCACATCCACACAGCTCCTGTACGGAATTGAGCACAGAACGCACAACAGAGCTGATCTTTTCATGTATTTGAACAGGAAGAGGCCAAGAGCAGCGCACCTCTACGCTGCCTGATGACACCACCCCGGAATCTGCCCGGGGACCTCAAATCAGATTGTCACACCGAGGCCATCTCCATCTCAACTAAATGAAATAAATAAACATCAAACCCAGAATCAGAGTTAGGGAGTAAGGAAAAAAAAAAAGAATTGATTTTCCAGGTGTTTGGCCTGAAAAGGTTGGGACAGAACCACCTGGGCTCCAAAGATGGCTGCCACGGCCTCCCAACATCCTCATCTCGGAGAGAACCACCATTTTTGTCTGTATCCCAGAAACCACCACTGCGTCTACTTTCAGGAGTTGAAGAGTCAGCTTAATCCCCTCAGGAAATGGGAATTGCCAGACGGGATGAAGCGAGTTGTCCATCACCAACCCTTTCCTCCACAGCAGCCACAGGGTTCAGAGGAAGGCGCAGGGAAACCTCACAGCGACGCAGCGCTCGGGGGGTTCGGATACGGCAGGTCCTTTGGCCGTTCCCTCACGGCTATCAAAATCCATATTCTAAGATATTAACTCCCTCAAATTGGTTGGGGGGGCAGGGGGAGGTGTCTCCTGCAAGGATAATTTCCCTCCGTTTAACAAAGATTAGCTTGAGGAGCATTTGCCAATGTCTTCGCCTGCTTCTGAGAATTCACACAACAGCAGCTTCGCTTCTTGAGTGTTTTTTACCTGGAAATTACACTGGTGCCTTGAGATGGTGTTTCTTTATTATTTCATATCTTTATTCAGTTCAGGTCAGTGGGTTGGGTTCCCCCTCACTGTTGGTAACGGTCTATTTTAGATACACCTTGTCCTTTTAAGCTGCCTATGGCAGAAATCCTGATTTAAATATGTGCCTCTTGCGACCTCTGGTTTAGCCTGCAGCCGTCTGAGGTTCAGGCACTGACTCCTCTGGTGCTTCTTAAGGACGAAGCACTTGCTGGCCTCTGCAGAAAATAGCTTTTCTCGGACTTTATTTCCCACCGAGGGATTTCTACCAAACACACCCATAAATCTTGGAGGATTCCTCACTGGCCGCTCTCCCACCCGCCACCTTCGTGACAGAAGACGCCCCCCAGGCAAGCCGCGGAGGGACAAAGCGTGTCACTACAGTAAGACCCTACAGGCCTTGTACCTGACCTGCCCACGTTCCCAAGGAGGCTGGGGACAAGAGCAGAGGGTGGGCAGGCACCTTGTGGACAGGAAAGTAAAAATACCGGATGTTTATGGGGAATATAAGAAAACAAGTCAAAATAATGACAATATACATTGCTGTGTGCAAAGGGAAGACAACTTGTCCTTGTTCCAAAGTGCTCCAAGGATAAAGACACAGACACACGAAAGGGGAAGATGCCCAGCAAGGAGCAGCATCCCTTCCAGCGTTCCAAGTATCGAAGCAAAGCCATGGATACTCCCGTGTTCAGCCTAATCAATAAAATGGAACAGCTCCCAAACCATCAGCTGTTCTTTAGATGTCTTGATCTTCCCCTGTCTAAAGCTCTGCTACCTTACCCACATCGTTCCACGTTCAGCATCTGCCTCAGCATCGTACCTTTAAACGAGAGGTCTTTGGGGGAGAAAATTAAATATGCCTCGAATTCAGAGGAATTAATTAGTTTTCTGTCTACCCATGTCAAACCAGAACATCCGTTTAATGTCAAGGATCACCAGGGAATTAATCCAAGTTAAATTTAAGGCAATTTTCTAGTAGTTAAAAATTCAGGAAGCTTCAAAACCCCGTGCTCGTGCGTTCCCATTTTACAGGCTGTTTTGTGGCTCGTTGTTGGGGCTTGTTCCCTCTCCCCCCCGTTTCCTGGTAACGACATTTATCTCCACTTAAAAGATGCTGTGGAAAGATTTCTTCAGAAAAGCAGTACCCTTCACGCTTCCAGCGCAAGCGTGGCAAAGAAGGAATAAGCTGGGGGGATACTTCAGAGACAGACCTTTTGGTTTACGTCCTTTTAGTCCACTGAGGGATTTTCCAAGTTGAGCACCTACTAAAATCCTTCAGGCCTGGGCCTGCAATGCCGGCACATGGCCACTCCACAGCTTTCCAAGAAGCCGATGAACCATGAGAACTCATCTGTAGATGTAGCAGATCAGGTTTTCTACAGTAATTCAAGTCTTGCTTTTCAGAAAACTCGCTACAAAAATTTTTCCCTAAATGAACGCCACGGAACAGCAAAAAGAACAAAATACAAGCAGATCTAACAACTACTTTCACACAAACTTCTGTCAAGACACAGGCCAGTTTTTTTATTCTTCACGTTGTCAAAAACCTGGTCTTAAAGTAAGCTTTAATAATTTATAAGCTTTAACCCTCGCTAGAACCAGCCTAGTTCTACAAACACAGCATCTGCAAAACCTGTTGATTTTGCACTATCAGCACAGCTCTCTGAAGGTGGAAATATCACCTGATGACGTAACGGGGGTCTGTACAAACACAACCTTCACCTCCTGTGGGAAAGGCTTTAAAAGGAGTAACCAGCACTACATGGATAGCCAACCTCCCGGTGTAGGTGCCCGCCGTAAGTCTCCTGACCCAAATCTTGACACCAGTAAAATTAAGGGGTGCAAATTCGTGGCATCTAAAAAACTCGAAAAAAAGCCTCGACAAGAAACGAGAACGCACATGAAAAGCCTCTACAGTGCAGTCCCCTGGGAACTAGTGGGGACAAAAATAAACTCCCTGCACTCAGAAGGAAAACAGGAAGAAAAAAAAAACCAAACAAGGACTAGAGGGGATTTTGGGGGTTGGTTGGTTTGTTTACTTTTGGCTCTCTCAGAATATAAGCGAACCAAAGGTTTAAAGGGCATGGCATGGAGTCCGCTGCAGTTTTCTAAACACGTTTCTACACTTCATGCTAAGGAGAGAAGTTAGAGAGTACCCAAACATTCACTGCGGCACTCCTCACCAGCCACTCTCCACTCCCTAGAGAAAACAGGCCAACTGGAATTCAACCAAAAATGTGTTGTTTCCTCCCCCTCTCCCCTCAGAGGAAAGTAAAAACAGATTAAGGAAGAACTCAAATTCACTCCAATGGTTTATTGTAGAAAAAAAACCCCCAACAAACACACCCCACTTCTCCGCTTCCCCCGTGTCCTGTCCACGTCTCCACTCCCAAGACATTCCAACATTTTTTAAATTCCTCCTCAAAGGAGCTCTGTAAGGTGGGACCGGGCTCCAAAGACTCCTTGCACATGAAAACTTTCACTTTTATCCAATTACAGACAACAGAAGCGCCTCGGGTTCCTCCTGTCCACGTGCCCTACGCCGGGAAGAACGGAGAACTCACACCCCAGCGTGACCTCAGCAACCGGACAGGACGGTACCGATGCCTTTGCTCCTAAACGAGGGGAAGCAGACGACTCGAGGTGTTAACGGGTGGTAACTCCCGGCAAGGACACCGCTCAGAGCTGCACGAGTCTCCTCAAGCGTCTCCTCATGTGTCTGAAGGAGAGCAGCACCCAATTCCACAAGAGTTGTAATGCCTTGACACTAGACACCCCGAAACGATATTCGTACGTTTGGCCTCAAAGCGGATGCAAGTAAGAGCTTATGAAAATGAACAGCTGCCAAAAAGGAAACTCTCCTGCCCTCCTGTGATTCACGAAACCGAGCGCTCGTTAAGTTGGTCGTTTGGACCACAACTCTGAATGCAGAGAGAGACAGGCAGATGTTTGCAAACAGACCAGACCAGACCCCTGGGCCAAAGAGGTTCCTCACAACGCGCGGGCTCGTGACCACGACAGCGCACCTCTCCTCCCTGATGACCGAGGAGGACAATGGTTAATTACAGCCCGACAGGGCATGTTCATCCTCACGGGCCAGGAGCCACAGGAAAAAAATCAAAGTTTAGTCATCCAGCTTGAAAAATACTATAGAATTACAGTAAAGGCAAGAATTTGGGAGACAAACAGCTTCCAGTGAACTTAAAGCAAAATACTAGTTAAATTTTCACGGTCAAATTTGAGGGGCCCCCTCCATTCCCAATGGTCGTAGGGGGAGAAAAACCAACACCAAGCCCCTACCAATATTTAATTAACACTGAAGAGGATTCACTAAAATTTCTCCAGTTTCAAGGCAACGCTACCCCATCACCGACAGCATTCAAACACTGCCCCTGAAGCAGTTACAGGCCAGCACGTCCACGAGTCAAGTCACTACCGAAGGGCAACCAGAACACAGGATTTCTGAAGGTATCTTAGAAAGATCCATTTATTAACCTTCACTAGATCCGACAGCGCATGAAGGATTTCAAGGGAAAACCAGGTCTGAAAATGAAAGCTGTTAGCCTCCACATTTTGGAAGGAGGGCAACTAGAAATTACAGTTTCTAAATTTCTAATTCTAAAGTTAAAAATAGGAGGGAAAACATCCCCCAAAAAAGACCAGAGATGCACATTTTGCTGCACTTCTTAAAGTAATAAGCAGTGAAGAGATTTTTCTGATTTTGTTAGAGAAAGCATGCACACTTTACTACTAAAAAAAAAAAAAAAGAGGCAAATAATCCAAGAGAATTACTTCTTACCAGTAACAAACTGGGTTCCAGGTCTAGTGTTTCTCCTACAACAGCTGAGGACATCAACAGCCCTAGGGCAGCACAGGTAGTGCGCTGTTCTGCGACCTCCCGACAGCACTGGTGTGAACTCTTGTAGGAGAAAGACAGAACTAGGACAAAAAAAAGCAAAGCCAGAGGAAGTTATTAGCATTAATCTGCAAGATTAGAGCAACGGTGATACGTGTGGAAGGGCTTTCCCTCCAACCTAGCAGTTATTACACCTCTATTACACGGGTTTAAATTGAAAGTGGGGAGGTTTAGATTAGCTATCAGGAAGGAATTCTTCCCAGAGATCATAGGGAGCACTGGGACAGGTTCCCAGAGAAGCTGTGGATGCCCCATCCCTGGGAGTGTCCAAGGCCAGGCTGGATGAGGCTTGGAGCAACCTGGGCTATGGAAGGTGTCCCTGCCCATGGCAGGGGGGTTGGAACTAGATGGTCTTTAAGGTCCCTTCCCACCCAAACCATTCTGTGATTCTATAATTCTATTTATGAACTAATGAGACCCACAAGATGTTAGCTCAAAGCGTATCAACACCTGGCAGGTAATTAAATCCTGGTTACTTTTTTTTGCAATACTATAATAAGAGTTACTTCTTAAAGTATGGGAAAAAAACCCTCTAATTTTAGACACTAAAACTTCAAACAGACCCTTGAAACAACAGTGCTTCCTGTTTGGGAGCTTTTCAAAACATTCTCACTTTAATGACTTTTTAAAGAGACATTTGTGGCCTGAAGGACACTAATTCACCTTATCTGACCTATAAAACACTGAGGTTAAAGAGCTACCAGTGCAACTCCTGGGGGGAAAAAAAGAAATACCAAGTTTGCAATGGAACATTCAAGAGAATTTCCTCTTGAAACGTTTAATGGTCTGTTTGTACCATGATGCCCTTTGAGGTGAAGAGACTAAAGAACCCCAAGATCTTGAAAATTCTGTGTAAAACACAGATACTTGGGTAGAGTTAGGCACACTCACAGACAAACGTTACTGTTTTATCCGAGAAGTCTGTGATCACAGTGTATAAAGAACAGCAACTGGCCGGCACAAAGGGGGGTCTGTCTGTGAGGACACATCCATCGTGATTACCATCCTGCACTCCTGCTTTTCCTTAAGCGAGACTGGGTTTTTTTCAGCATAACAGATTCTCTACGCTTGCAACCCTTCAGCTCAAACCTCGGAGCACACGCTCTTCAAAGCCGGATACTGCTGGTGGCAGAGCATTTGCCCTGTATTTCCCATCTCTGTATCTCAGCTCTCAACACACACATTAGCACTCTCAATGAAAATCAGCGATAAATCCATCCTGCTGATTTCGAGACTGACCTTCTGCAGTAACGGGCTGCAACAGCAAACATGGGAAGCTGAAAATTAAGAAAGCTTCTCCAATACAAACGAATGCCGTTACAAACGGTGGAGTAACAGAGCTAATAAGCAAATGAAGGAACGAGGAAAATCCAAGCATTCTTATGGCAACAAGCAGAACTGTGAAAATCCTGACACAAATACGACCCAACTGAAGCACACACCACTGACTTTGTTCTCAAGTTCTGCATCAGGCTGCCAAGTCTTGCCTTCCCCTGATTGCTTCTCCACGGCAATTGTTTTGGCTAGTGCCTGTCAGTCCTGTTATTTAGACAGTTAAAAATAAAACGGGGGAGTGAGGGAGCCAGACCAACACAGGCATGTGGGAAATTACCTTGTTAGCAAAGTGTAAAGGTAAGAGGTGGTTTTGCTAGACGTAGGCCTGTTACCATCAGGACTCACTCATGCCTCTGTCCCAGTTAAAAACGAGCCCCCCCAGTCTGGCAGAGCCGAGACCTGTACTACCTCGTGCTGCTCCGCATTTCATTTCTTGCTTTGAGCTCTGCACCTGTTTTCTCCTCCTAATCGAAGGGAACCAAGGGAGCATGATGAATGGCAGCAGCCCTAGCACAGGGCAGGAGCAGAAGCAGGGCAGCTGGGTACGATTTCTAAACCAGCCTTTGCCACCAATGCCAAGTCAGACTTTGTAAGAACTAAGTCCCCCTGACAACCTCACCTCCAGCTACTCTTTCTCTTCCCCTTACCACAAATCTCTTTAAATTCTGAACAACTTACCAATATTTGAAAATGTTTCCTGCTAGCAAAAATAAACGTCACTGTGTTTCCCGGCGGGACAGCGCATGTTTTAACGGACAGAGAACGGCCTCTGGTAGCAAGCTCCAAAAGGTTCATCAGACGTCCTGTGTTTGGGAATGGAAAGAACAGGAGGCAAGAATTAAAATCTAAAACTTTCACTTAATACAAAAAAAACCCTTCAGTGTCGTGTAATTACAAGCAACAGTCAAAATAACTGCACATTTACAACACCGTTTGCCATTTCAGTCAGGAAATATCCCGGTATTTTTCTATAATTAAGCATGCAGGAAAAATGATTTAGCCCTTAAGTTAAAGAAAGGGTTTAACATACACTTTTTAAGACTATTAACAAATCCCAACGCTGCTCCCAGGCAGAAGCGCTTTGAGGAAGTCACTGTAGGAAACAGGATTTTATACGAGGATTTCAAAGAGTTTTAACAATACTGTGTGTTCTAGTTAACGTCCAAGTTGGGACGTTCCTGCGACACCTCCCATCCACACGCTGCAGATGGGGTTAGTATTACTCTAACCTCAGTGACAGCGATTCCCCTCCAAACCAAGACATTTGCCTAAGGTTACAAAAAACTTACGTGCCCAGATTATAGAAAAGTGAGATATTCAAGTTCTTTTCCCACCCAGCCCAACTCAGTCACAGCCTTCAGCAGCCAGATCCACCCTCGAGGTCAAGTACTTTCACGCACGCTACGTAAAGCGCTTTCATCCTCTTCACAAAATGTTTAAATTTTGAAAAAAGAAGAGCCACAAAGATGCAGAAAAAGATGCGAATACCCAACGGAAGGCAAAGGTTTTATTTTCCATGCCTGTAAAAGCGGTGTAGCCCAGAATACAATATTCCATCTGCTAATCCAACAGGATGCACCTTTCCAGCGGGGCACAAGGTGCATGCTTCGAGTTCCAAACACCTTCTCGCAGCAGTATTTCCCCTGCACTCTGCATCTCCTCCCCATTCCCCTTATTCACTTCCCCACAGCTTCCAGCTCCAGCCGTGTGCCTGTCCCCGCATCCTCCCTCCCTCCCGGCGCAGAAGCAGTCGCTCCCGTTTCTGATCTCCTCTCGTCCGGTTGCTCCAGAACAGATCCAACACCACCGGTGCCACGGACCCTGCGGAACGCAGCGAGAACACCAAGAGCTGGCCAGCACCTAAAACCCCAGCACCTTAGAGGGTACCAGGCTTGGGAAGTCTGGAGAGATGGAAAAGCACCCGAGCACGTAGCTACAGACCCAGCTGCTCCTCAGGCAGCGAGGATTCAAACACAGCCTGAAAAGACCCAGATGCCGGTGGCCAGAGTGACACTGACCTGTCCGAGTGCCGTTAACTCCACCAAGGCCTTAAGCGTCCACTTAAGTCCCAAAAGGACTTTGCCTTTGTGCCTCTAAGCAGACAAAACCCATAAAAAGCACCTTAGGAAAAAAGAGGATTAAAGAACCGTGAGTACGTCACACTGGGAATTGCCCTGAAGAGTGGTTCCCCCAAAACTTTCCCATTGGTTTTGGGCTTTTTAACCAGGGGATCTTTGCTGAAGTTCCCAAACGCAGTACGGAAAAGGGAGGGAGCCGAAGGAGGAAGTACCGTGAGGTAATTTTTCAGGAGAAGGGTAACAGCGTGAGGAACCCAGGGAAAGGGAAAGAGCACCTAAGGGACAGAAAAGAGACGTAAGGAGTCAGGAACGATCCAAGAGTGAACAACCAAACGGAAAAGAATGTCCGAGGGGCTCCCAACGACCTCATCCCGTGCAACTCGTGGCACGAGCGCTCAGTGCCTGGGATAAGCATCCCGGTTCGCTTTTTAGTACAAATCTCATAATCCTGATTTGGTCAACCGTCAGAAAACAAACGGAAGTGGATTAAGAGACGTAAGGAGTCAGGAACGATCCAAGAGTGAACAACCAAACGGAAAAGAATGTCCGAGGGGCTCCCAACGACCTCATCCCGTGCAACTCGTGGCACGAGCGCTCAGTGCCTGGGATAAGCATCCCGGTTCGCTTTTTAGTACAAATCTCATAATCCTGATTTGGTCAACCGTCAGAAAACAAACGGAAGTGGATTGGAGCCAAGAAGGATACGGCGGTAACCAGAAGGAAGTCAATACGCCAGTTTTGTATTTGGCCACCACCTCATTCCCCAGTGCTACAGCGGCAGGACTTTTGGGGGTACTGCATCCCCGCCACCTCGTTCTTCACTCCTTCAGTTAGCTGGCGTCGGGTTTGGGTACTTTAAGCACTTAATGGCTAATACAGACCATCGATTCTTGTTCCAGAGCACGATTCGAGCGCTGGGCAGAAAGGCGTCTCCTCCAATGGCATATTAACGCAAAAGGGGTAGATTTTCTTTAACCCTTTCCTCAAGGAGAGCGAGCTAACAGCCCGAAATATCGCCTCTTTCTGCCGCAATGGGGGGAATTAGCAGGAAGCAAACTCGCTTGGATGGAAGAAGCCGTATGTTCAACCCAGGAGGAGGGAACAAGTGGGAAAGATAACCAGGTATTTAAGCACAGGCAGGTATGAGCACACCCCTCCATGCGCACAGCCCCACTCGCGTTTCTAACAGGGCTCTTAAGCAGCTAAGGCCCTGGCACGCACCCTGACATTCCTGTTACTAGGTTTACGTTAATCCACACGCAAGCTAGTAGCTGTGTGTGCACGACATGCCTGACGCCTTGTCGCCTCCCAACTCAGTTTTACCACAAAACAAACTGTAGGCAACGTCCAACATCTGGAGAAGTTTCTTCTTCCCGAGCGGAGCCAAGCGAGTAGCAGGACCGACGGCATCCCCACTACGCGGGCTGCAGCGCAAGCGAGCTGCATCCCCAAAAAGCAAGGCGAGAGGGTGAGTTCCAGCTCACCTGTTCCGTTCCACAGGGTCCCTCTCAGCAGCCGGCTGTG